TTGTGCATTCTACTATCAGACCTTTTTGTTTAACGTGTGCATAATCTACTTAAAATCCTCGGCCCGCCAGAGGGATGGCAAGGCGGTGTGTCAGATTTGTACCCACAAAAAACCACACTGTCACTGCAAGCGCCTATACCGGAGCCAGGGTATTCGCTTGTGCATTCTACTATCAGACCTTTTTGTTTAACGTGTGCATAATCTACTTAAAATCCTCGTCCCCGCCAGAGGGATGGCAAGGCGGTGTGTCAGATTTGTACCCACAAAAAACCACACTGTCACTGCAAGCGCCTATACCGGAGCCAGGGTATTCCCTTGTGCATTCTACTATCAGACCCTTTTGTTTAACGTGTACATAATCTACTTAAAATACTCGCCCCGCTTGAGGGATGGCAAGGCGGTGTGTCAGATTTGTACCCACAAAAAACCACACTGTCACTGCAAGCGCCTATACCGGAGCCAGGGTATTCTCTTGTGCATTCTACTATCAGACCCTTTTGTTTAACGTGTGCATAATCTACATACTTAAAATCCTCGCCCCGCCAGAGGAATGGCAAGGCGATGTGTCAGATTTGTACGCACAAAAAACCACACTGTTACTGCACGCGCCTATACCGGAGCCAGGTATTCGCTTGTGCAGCCTACTCCGAATAGATTAACAGATCTAACATCATTACCTTCCACCATCACCCCGCCAACATATACCGTTACCATATGCAATCACAGCATTATCATCTATTAAAAACGTCTCACACGCTTCCACTTAACTTTAACATTCCCTAACAATATGTATAAGTATATTGAACACGTAGTACATAGACAACTGAGACAATACAGAGCAAATCACCCTTCAAAGAGCCAATCTAGTCACCGATCACATGATCTCGCTCGTGTTTACCCGCCATTCAGACACGGAATGGCGTCAACACAATAAAATATTACGACTTCTTTGATCCGAGATTGGAGCGGGTTTTATTCACTGCACTGTGACGTTATTTGCTGAGACTCGAGTTTCGCTGCGCATACAGTATTTGTTAAAGTATCAGATCTATAATCATTATATTTTTTTTTAATGGATGATAATGGAATGTGCATTCTCCTGTGCGAACGGTTTACTTAGGATGATTAGATGAGCATGAGGTCAGGTCAGTTAGCCCATAGTGGTATCGTCATCATGAATTTATCATCCTCCACTGGTGCCCCGCCAGCGTAAACCGTTAGCGCACACAGGTGCACCATTCCTTTATCATACATAAAAAAAATACATTAACGACTGAATTACATGTAATATTACAAAAAAAATACATACAAAAAAGAAGAAAATATATAGTTAAATGATTGTGTTAGTCAAAATTCTTTATTAGACTGAGTTCCGTATACAAAAATATATAATGAAATTCATAATAGACAATTTTAAGAATTAAACTATATGGCCAAAACGTCAGCAACAGATAATACAATTATTTAAAAAAAAATAGAATTATTCGTTTTAAGAATTCAGAAGTAAATGAAATAATATAAATCCATTCAGTAATGAAATGGACTTCCGCAAACTAACACCTATTCTAACACAAAAAATTACTAACACAATTCAATAAAATACTCAGCCCTCTACTCTTCTCTATACATATAGCTCAGTCTCGCCTATTTCAGCCAAGCAGCTTGCTTTGTAAACTTCTTCGTTTTCAGGGTGAAATTACAGTATAAGAGGCATCTTTGTGCTCCTGAAACGCATAGTTGTACATTACATGATAATAGTCTATGGTTCATGTATATAAGCAAAAGCTACCATTTTCTATCAGTCGGACCGTAAGCTTCAATATTCGTAAAAAAAGACGCAGTTTAAAATTTATAAAAACCGAAACAACGTCATAGCAAATCTCTGTGGAACTCTTGTTATGTTTTTTTAATAGCCATAGAAACAGCTATTATAAAACTTCACCTTTGTAATGCCAAGTTTACAACGAAAATGACCGAAGTTCCATGACATATGAGAGCAGATAAAACCCGCGGGCATGTTTATAGCTGTGCAATTTCGAGTCAATGGCGAAATCTTGTCGTAAACCGACCGCTATATTCATGTCGATAACCTTTACATTGTCTGCTCTGCTAACAATCTTCATATTATTAAGACATAATAAAAATAAATATAAAAAGATACAATAAAATTGTAACAGCCGTTTATTGTCTGCGATTTGATTGATTCGGTTAGTCTAAACGCGTTAAAATTACGATTGTAATGTCTGATGGATGCTGTTAACGCAGTTCGAATGCTGTTTTTGGCAAAGATTCACTTTGATCTATGGTAACGTCATCTTATTATTATATAGTCACTAGTTCATCCATCAAACGTTGTATTGTTATATAAATTATTATCACTATTGAAAAATAATGTTGGAGGGGTGAAAATTTAGAAATGTATGTATTTTCTAATGGCATATCTAAAAAAAAAATCTTGCTCAAAAATAATAATATCACATCACTTAGTCAATCCGTATCAATTTCGGAGATTTAGTATCAGTTTAGAATTGCTTGTACTTTTATATATGTTATTGGAGGCTATAGATCTCCCGTCTAATTCAAAAGGGTATCGAAATTACGACGAGCTATACCCAGGTTCTAACCACTAGCGGTGCCCTCAGACTACAGTCGTATCCGTCAGGTGTGAGTACATAATTCCATCCGCGATTTTAGAGTGCTATCTGCACTCGTCTCCTATCGTTCGGTGGAGCTGTAAAAGCCAGCTGCGCCCAAAAGCAAAAGAATTGTTCGAAAAAACTGATAGGTATCCCAATAAACTTGTGTATATGACATAGACAAATTTTGAAGGCGATTGAAAATCCTTTAATGACCAAAATAGGTTTCTTTCGGAACACCAAACCCGCGGAAGGACTTAACGGCTGAAGGCCGACGCAAGCCTGACGGATACGAATTTTGCCTGAGGATACCGGGTTTGAACCTCGGCTCAGACCGTCGTAATTTCAAACCCCGTTTAATTTGAACGGGGTATCAATCGAAGGGGACCCAAATACGTGTGATTCATGAAACTGTAAAAGCTAGTTGCGGCAACGGAATAGTCCCAAAAAACTGATAGGTATTCCCACAAGCTTGTGTACATGACACAGAGAAATTTCGAAGGTTATTGAATATCTGCTAATGACCAAAATACGTGTGACTCATTCTATTATGACCAATCGCCACTGCAATGCACTTGGTGTAGTGACGTCATTCACCAGATGTTTACCAACACGCTCGGTTTTAGTTAGTCCCTTATAGCATTGTTTACGTATGTGCTAAATCAATGTTCAGGGCAACTCCTCGTGCGTGCTGTGCAAACAAATTAAAACAGTATTCGAGTAGGTAATTAGAATTTTCCGCACTTTACTCAATTCTTAGGTTGTTCCGAATTTCTTATTACATATCTAAATATATGTAACACAAAGGTGACTGACGTAGTGATCTATCAATGCACAGCCCAAACCACTGGACGGATCGGGCTGAAATTTGGCATGCAAGTAGATGTTATGACGTAGGCATCCGCTAAGAAAGGATTTTGATAAATTCCACTCCTAAGCTAGTGTAGTATAAAATTACGTCGCATCCACTATTTGTTTGCTTAGATTTTTAAACGGAACGGATATTAATGCAGTTTTTAACAATAGATACAGTGATTCAAGAAGTAGGTTTATATGTATATACATATGCGAAACTGGGGCGAGTAGCTAGTACAAAACATATATTATATTTTTATACTACTATGGTGACAAACAAGCATACGGCCCATCTGATAGTAAATGGTTACCGTAGCCTATGGACGCCAGAAACACCAGGGATGTTACGTGAGCGTTGCCGACCCTAGAGAAACCTTATAATAAAAATCCCTTGAAAAATCCCATGCTGTAGTCTCTAGAGAAAACCTCGGCAGGTAGTTCGTTCCACAATCTATGTAAGTGTACGCGATAAATGTAAAATAATCATGCAGGACAATTTAGACTGCGCTATCTTGGCCCAAACTAAACAGAGCTTATGTTACGGGTGCTACAATACATTTTTTTGATTCAATACAAAGAATATATTTAAATCTATTATTATATATATTTTTTAATACATAATATACACAAGAACAACCAACACTAACAATCGTACTCATAAATACAAATATTAACATCGTACGTGGAATTGAACCCGCAACCATCGGAAGTAAAGCGGTGTGCTAAACCGCTAGACCACCGCGGCCGCAGTCTGCAGTGCAGTGTGATTACCACGTGATACCCCATGTTTACTGTTGGCCCACACTGAACAAGTTTGACGTCAAACATAAAACGCTGCAAGTGCATCATTGTATAGTCGAACGACTCTTATAATCGTAAACAGTAATCGCGAGTTCGATGTTTATGCATTGTTATTTACCGCAGACAAACCGAAACAGACATCTTTTCAATATTTATGTTTACTTTGTTAGTTGTAGTTTACCTTAGAACTTAACTTAATGTGCTACCGTCGTCGTAGATCTCTTATTGTATTAATCTACTGGTAAAGGCTATAACAGAATAACAGAGTGGGTGGACCCACTGAGTTATAGACTGTTTTGTCTCCTTCATTACTTTTAGATTTTATTATTGTATGGGCAACAATTATATTAGTTTTTGCTTAGTTCTCTAGGATGAATGCATGAGGAACTGATATCACATGCTCTCTGCCTATCCTTTTCCCATTTCATTTAGGGTCGACTCTCCTAGTTCTTCGCCAGGCACATCTGTCCTGGATTGTAGACTCCATTATTTCCGTTTTCTTTAGGTCATGATTAGTATAGTATCCCCTGCTAAATTAGTAGGGGACTACCTCGTCTCTTTGAACCAGTGTGAAGGTTCAGGACTTTTTAGTTCATATGACTCTCTTCTAATCTCATTACGTAACCATACCATCTCAACGTTCTCTCGGAGAGTTGGTCTTGCCTGATCCTAGAAATGCAAAACTAAAGAATATTACTTTCTTTCCAGGAATAGTGAATCGTGGAGACTCGTTCCGTCGACGAAGATCCCGCTCAGGCAGCCTAGCACCATCGTCACCAGCACAAGCTGCCCCGGAACCGTTGGAGCGCCGGCCCGTGGCCTGCCATCGTGTTGCGATGGTGGGAGCTCCAGGCGTCGGGAAGACCGCCCTCATCAGTCAGTTCCAGACCAGTGAATGCATTAATGCTTACGACAGACAAAGAGGTACGTAGTAGTTAACTAAAATTAATTAATTCATCCGTCATACTCGTGAACGGGAGCTGCTTGTGGGACTGGTCTGTTTGGGTTGCAAACACTAATTAGAATATTTACTTTTAAAATAGCATATACTGGTGGTCATTCCCATGTTTGAATTTAAAAATTAATCTGTATTATTGTAATCATGTACAACATTTATTTGAAAAGAATACGAGCTGAGTTTCTTGTCAGTTCTTCTCATCTCGAAATCATTCCGAACTGACGGTAGGTTTGACATATCATAAGAGTCTGTAATAGACCTACATGCATAAAGATATTTTAATTTTGATTTTTTTTTTAGTTAATTGAAGGAATTTACTGTTTTAAACTTGACGCGGTCATTATTTATACCTATAATTAGTAAAAATCACACAATTGCTGAGTTCCCGATATTTCGGCAGTGTTTCAACCACCATGATCACGGGTAAACTGTTACCCGTGATCATGGTGGTTGATCAAATAAATATAAAACGTGGTAATATCCCGTGATTTTTACTAATTATACGTATAATTGAAGGAATTGTTAGAAATATGGACTAGTAAGCTTATTGCTAACAATGTACCATGCCATGCCAGGCCCATGCCAGGTTAACCTCCACGTGGCTCCCATGGAAACCATCATGATAAATTCATGATGAATTTACCACGATGGGCTAACTGGCCTGCCTCGTGCTGATCTTATCCTTCACTGGTGCCCCGCCAGCAAAAATCATTAGCGCTGACGGTAAAATAGCCTTAAATGAAATCATTACATAGTATAAAACAAAGTCGCTATCGCTGTCTGTTCATATATATGCTTAAATCTTTAAAACTACGCAACGGATTTTGAAGCGGTTTTTTTTAGTAGATAGAGTGATTCAAGAAGAAGGTTTATATATATAATACATATACACCCGTGCGAAGCCAGGGCGAGTAGCTAGTAAATAATATAAATTTAAATTAGTTAATATAATAATAATTAATATTGTGCATTACATAACAAACAATATTTGCAACTGTTGGTAGTTTGTATTCACACGTTTCGACTTGTAAAATGTGAACTTACAAGGATTGTTTAAAAGAGCAATACACAAGTTTCTTGCTCGTTCTTCTTGTGATGAGACAGCTTTCCGAATATGCGGTAGATTTAAAAAAATTTTGACTATTCAAAAGTGCTTAAATTGAGTTTATTTCAATAAATGATTTTCTATTCTATTCTATTCTTACTCTTTAACAAATAAGTGTCTGAAAGGATCTTAGTAAAATTTGACATATGAATTGTAATACGGACATAACATATCTTTTATGTCAAAACAGCATACAGAGTCGCGAGAAACAACTAGTTGCGTTATAAAGTCATTGCTGCACATTTTGTACAAAAGAAGTGGAACGTAATTTAGTCGAACGAGCTGTTTCCTAGTTGTTACGTTGTTTTAACAAAAGGCCAACAAAAAGCAAGAACAAAGAGGTGTTTTGTTCCTTTTCTCATTACGCTGAAAAATTACAACATTTCTCTCTCATATCACTATTATGTTCAGTACAGTATATATGTCATAGTACCCTTACACATATATAATAATAATAATAATCTTAGGACAATTCACACAGCGCCATCTAGACCCAAGTTAAGCTAGCTAAAGCTTGTGTTATGGGTACTAGATAACTGATACAAATACATAGATATTTTTTTTTTTTGTAAATACATACATATTATATATAGAAAACACCCAGACCGATACAAACAATCATACTCAAGAATACAAATGTTTGTGCCGTGCGAGGAATCGAACCCGCGACCATCGGTCGTAAAGCGGTGTACTAGACCGCTGGACCACCGAGGTCCATATATAATAGTAAAGACTGTAGTAGTAAATAGTAAATTACGCGGTTTAGGAGAAATAATCGGACAAACAAATAAAATCAGTTCCTTTGCTACTATTTATTCATATAACGGCCTAGGTGGTCTAGCGGTTTAGCATACCGCTTTACCTCCAATGGTCGGGGGTTCGATTCCTCGCACGATACAAACATTTGTATTCATTAGTATGACTATTTGTATCGGTCTAGGTTTTCTATGTATATTATGTATGTATTTACAAGAAATATAATCTAAGTATGTACATCAGTTGTCTAGTACCCATAACACAAGCTCTGCTTATAGCTAGATGGCGCTATATTAATTGTAAGGGTTGTTATTATATAGATGAATACAGTCTATTAAATTAGTGTTTAATTACATTTTAGAGAGGACTTTTGTACATTGTTTTAATTAGTCAATAAACTTATGATGTATAATAATACATGTATTACATTATGGTGATTATTTCCCAATAACTATCGTATTATAAAACTGTCAATTATAAACAAATCTTATTAATGTTATAAACGCGCAAGTTTGTGAGTATGGATGGATGTTTGTTACTCTTTAACGCAAAACTACCGAACGAATTTTGATGAATCTTTTACAATAATATAGATTATACATCAAAATTACACATAGGCTATAATTTAAAAAGTTATTAGCTAATTTGGGCGAAATATATAATGTTACATGTCAAGTAAGTGTAGTACAGATGAAGTTCAGCGGGTCAGCTAGCCATTATATAATTAGACTAAAAACAATTTAATATCTCTTGAGATATTTTTAGCCAGACTCGATCGAAGTCGCGTGTACAGTTAGTTCATAATAAATTACCCGAGACCCGTCGCAATTTTAATTTCAACAAACTTAATAAGTCCCAGTTACTTTAATTAAATAATAAAAATAATTATTTCGGACTCGTCCAAAAGAGTGCCTACGTAGTAGATTAATTAAAGAATATAGAGTTATACTTATTTGCATAATTAAAATGAACATTTACCTCTTTATTAAGGACTTTTTGTTTGTTACAAATAAAATTTGAAACGAAGCGCTCTCAATCTTCGCTGTTGAAAGCATTTCTTAATTGGTACATTGGCAGTACTTCAAACACTTTTTCTCTTATTTCTACTTTTCACAAATAGTTACCTTACTATAAATAATAATAAATAACTCTGGATAATTAACACACCGCCATCTAGCCCCACGATAAGTAGAGCTTGTGTTATGGGTAATAGTCAAGTGATAATAAATACTTACATATATACTTGTACATACTTATATAATAAATACATTTTTTTGTAACATAATATACATAGATAACACCCAGTACACACACCAAGGTCGTCAAATAAATCATAGTAGCAATATAACATAAAACAAAGTGTTAGGGAATTTACTCTCTGCTACCAAAATGTTAGGGAAAGTACTTTGTATAGGGAAAATATGTGGAAACGTCTGTCCCGTACCTGTATGGTTCTGCGGATTTCTAGGGCTTCGGGGTCTCGAAGATATCTTCGCTAGCTTTCCAGTTTCACAGTAGGTTTAACTCAGTTCTAATTTATTTTAATTCACAACACAATGCGCGCGCGCGTCAAGGCCGCTGTACGGTCAGTTCAGTACTGGGTAAGGGAGGGGAACAGAAACCGCGGGAACACAAACTAACGGACTCTAATATAATAATCTGTGCCTACGATGACACAGGGTAGATTTTGAACACAAAGCACGCTGTGGTTACTTGTAAATATAACAACAGTTTATTGTAAGACCGTCAGTATATATAAAAGAACGACATATATTACCTGTATCTTATGATGGTGATCCAAAAAAATAAATAGATAAATAAATACACAACCGACTGGTTGATTAACTAAATAAGAGTAAATCTGTCATAGTGTCCGACTGTTTGTAACCGCGTCGGCACGCACAAGCCACGCTACCAATTCTCCCACTATGAGAGCATTGCAATTATTAAATGTATTTTTAGGTAAGGTCCAAGATGCTGACGTATATACAGAAGCCTTGCCTTCCATAATAAATAAAATAAGCATATTTTTATCATTGCATAGTTTAAGTAGTATAAATAGTTTTAAAATATAAACGTGTTAGCAATTAGCTGTAAGTTTATATTGTGTTAATTAAATAAATAAAATAGTGTTGTGATCAATGTCTGCACTAAGTAAACTAAACCAGTCCCTAAAATGATATGATGGATGAGGCCATCACCGCGCACAGCTATTTTCCCAAATAGGTATAATAACTTTGCCAAATTCTTGCCTATCTGTAGCTACGAAAATTAATTCGCATGCGTCAATGATTTTGGAAGATGTTTGGAAAATTCCTATAAAAACTCAGCCATTACGGTTTGTTTTGTGACTGTGAATCGGCGTTTTTAAAAACCCGTCCAAGTTGGCCAACAACAGTAAATCTTGAGAAAGTTTTAGGTGCGTACTGAAATTTTAGTAAAATAGCAGATGCGTCGTTTGGGCTCTCCTCAGACTTTATTATTTAGTCCAGAAAAAATTACGTGCCGTTTCTCGGAACTTCCATGTTTAGGGATTTCGTATTTTGACAGCAACGATGGTCTAGCGATTTATCTCACAGCTTTACTTCTGATGATCTACAGTTCGATCCTTCTCATAATACAAACATTTGTATTCCTGAGTATAGTTGTTTGTATTTGGTCTGGGTGTTTTGCTATATATATTATGTAGGTTTATATATATATAAAAAATGTTTAAGTAAAATTAACTGTAATACGCTTAACACAAGCTCTGCTTAGATTGAGTCTAGATGGCGCTGTGTGAATTTTCCAGGGTTATAATTATTATCTTAAGAATGGATTTTGTTTTTCTAACTAACACTATAAATGTGTTAGTGAGTTTGTTACTTTCGAACATGATGCGTATCATTTGAAATGTAAAACGACAGTTTTTGTTCCGGTCAATGACCTTATTATATAGACAAGCTGCGGTCAGAAACATTTCATTTCACTTTTTTCCTGATGTAATTTTTGGTTAGGAAGATATGACATCTTAGTTGTCTGGAACATGGCATGCATATTGTAAAAATAATATCCCTAAATATTTGAAGCCAGAAATATGTAATATAGAGGTAGACTTAGACTATT